GCGCTCTCGATATTTTTTTCTCTTTCTGGAACGAAAAAAATACGCAGATCTCGAACGCACGGCGTCCCGCCGCCACCTAGTATGCTCTCCTCCTTCTATGGCTGACACTACGCATCATAGTCTGCCGGTATACGGATACTGGTTTATATCTTCTTCTGCTTCATCATGTAGAATCTCATAAAGATACTCAGGAGCTGAAACAATGAACAATAAAAGAATAATGTTTAATTCAGCGAAGTATACAATGCGCTGCCAAATACTAAATACTAAATACGTCTGATTTGTCATCCATATATTTGTCATCCAGATATTAAGATTTTACAGTAAATATAAATTTGAACAAAAAATTTTCTATAAATATGGATCGAAAAATGCTTCCTTAAAAAATTAACGTCCCAAAATCACGGTTTTTATACATTTTTGCAGATATATAGAGAAGTATGCGTTGTTTTCTTTCAAAAATATTAAAACAAAATTTGTAGAAAATTAAATTATCTTTCAAATAAAATCAATACAATTGTAATACGTTAGATAGGTTTTGAGATAACCAGTTTGAAATATAAAAAAAGTTTTTTTCGGATAGAGCTTTTTAAAATACTCTTTATTTATGCCATCATAGTTATAGTTTACGCTGTAAAAAATTAATTAAAAAGTACTTACTGTAATAAGGTCTCACAGCAAAATGCCTCACTCGTTTATCGTGTCTGCGTTTGTTACACATTGGATAAATTTTTTGGTTTTAATTGAATTTAATATTTCACTGTTATTCATATTACTTATATTAAGATATTGATCATTTCCTTAGATTGAGTGAAAAAAATTTTCAAGTCTTCTTTAAATTCACAACACAATAGCAAATATTTATCGTCGGAATATATTCCGTCTTCTCTTCCCTCTATGTTTAAAATAAACACCTCGAATGGATGTAGCGGCTTCAAGCGAATAATATTCGGATTTCTGTTTTTTTCCCAGGGATGATATTCCAAACCGGAATGTATGTTTGCAGGAATTTCTTCGGCACGATCCATGTTAGTTTGGAGATAATGGTCTACGATATAAAGCTTAACAGTGAAGATTGTTTAATTAACATAATTATTGAATTCAACATGAAAATAGGGATTTCAGTATGAGAGAGAAAACATTGATCATGTGGTATCAATTCATTTTAAGGTAAGAGATATATAATATATAATCGGTAAACGTATATATAGAATACAGTTTCAGCATTGAAAGCTGCGCAACGACACATATCGATCCGACAATTGTCGATAAGAATTTATCTTGAAGCCGTTGTCTTCTTTTAATGTTTATGAAGAAAATCTTAATGTATAGCAAACTTTTCAAGTCATGCTAATTTCCGTAAAGCTGGATGTCTTTAATAGTATTTCATTAATGCTAAAGTGCGCAATTCGTATTCGAATCTTTTCGATTCGAAATTTTCTAATTATTCGGATTCGAATCATAGGGATTTGATTCGAATTCGAATAGTTCGCACATCTCCAGTCAAACTAAATAAAAAAATCCTCTACCATTTTCCAAATGACCACGTACACGTTTACTTACTAATTAAAGAAGTTTATGTACTGCGAGGAGTATTCCTCCACTTACCGCAAAATACCACCCTCCCACGCTCCGCTCGCGGAACTCAAGATGTTGGACGCCAGATGCGAAGCAGACCACACCACTTTACCGAATAATCGTTACTCAATGCTAATTCCAACGCAAAAGATGGCCGAACGAGTCGATACAAGTCTGGTAGGTCATCTCTTTGTTCCGAGATTGTTATTGTTGTCCCGTAGCCAGTATTCTACAAAAAATCGAAAGACGAATATAAGGTCGGCGGCATCCAAATTCGGAACGACACGGCATTCATTACTGTCACTAACATTTGAATAATGAGGACTCACTCTGGTTCTCTGTGGGGTTTCCCAGAGAGAAAGCTCTTGTCCCACGCTGTGCTTCCATGTTTCCTCACTCTCGACCTCCTGTTGTCAGTTTCGGGAGCCGCGAGGACACAGGTATTCGGGACGCGCGAATCGCTAATCTAACGCGAAAATCCGAATGTTTCCGATAGCTACGCCGATGGTACGACACATAAACACTATCGGAAACCGCTATCGAAAATGTAAATATTCGCACGAATTTCTCGCGGCTTAGCCCGAGCGATCACTAAGAAATCAATCTAATTTCTTGATTCGACAGCTTAATCCTCTTGTGACGTGCAGCTGCACCACTGCCACGTCACAATACAGTTGTATGCGATAATGCACCAATCTTTTTCAACTAATAACTAAACATCTACGTGTCATTTAGAAAATGAAAGAAAACTTTTTTGTTCAGTTTGATCTAATATACAAGCATACAACGGCAAACCTCGCCATCGCAGCTCATCTATCTTATCACATTTGATCATTCGCGAATCTTCTTGGATTAAAATTTTACGTAGTTGTTTGAAAAATGACGTGTACAATTTTTGTTCACTTTTATGTGTTCTACTTATATTTTTCTTTTGGTCCGTCTTACACGGGACACCCTGTATAAAGCCTTATACTTCCTAAACAAAAGTACCATGAGTTTATAAGGACATGAGTTTAAATGCCTATAATTGCTGGAAAATAATAATTTATATTCCAGCTATATAACATTTCAGCAATATATATAACAGCTATATAACATTTTAGTAACACGTTATATTTCTATTATATAACGGCAACTTCGTATGAATGGGGAATTATAACTAATGTGTATATTACATGTAACAAACATGTTATATTGCACGTTACATCCCGTTATATTACAACGATGTAATATAACTGTTATATTATTGTGTTTGCTGGGAAGATTATATATTTTAGGATGGAAATCGTCGAGTCGCAGTAATGATCTTACTTGCATGTGAGATACGCTTTGTAGTCGAACACGTCCGTAGGAGAAAATCGCAGGGTGAATTTTGCCGATTCACCCGGCAGCAGGATTCCCTTTTCGGGGTAAATCCCAAACGGCAAATCGTCACTCTCTAACCAACTGTCGCTACTTCGCTCTGTCAATCCGGCACTACTGCTGAAGAGATCGGATGGATCGTGGGCGCTAGCAGGTAGTTTTATCTTGACGATATCTTCTGCAGAAATAACGACATCCGTTGTCGTGATTCACGTGTAAGACGAAAGCTTTTCACATACAATAAAACGAATATTAAAACGAAATGAGCTCTATTAACTTTGACGGTAACACCAAGCGCCTCCAAGACGTACTGGTGTAAATTTCTAATTTACTTTCAAGAACTCTTTTCTCTGTATTTTAACTTGGAGTAGAATTTCCGAACGCAGTATATAAGAAACAATAATGACATTATAATGTTGATTAATGCGTCGATTTGAGAAAGATATTATAGAAATGAGCTTTTAAAGAATTCTTTAATATGATGTCATATTAATGAACTCTTTAAAAGCTCTTGAATGTGAGTTTTTCAAGATAATCTGAAAAATAACATTGTTCTTTCTTTAAAGTGTGATTGTAACGCGTAGAATGAGTAAAGGACATAACAAGAAAGACAGCCATGACGGAAATAATTTATTGAAAATATAATGTAGATGCGTGAAAATCACGTTAAAAGTGAAAAGCAAGAAAATACACAATAATTACATAGCAGAATACCACTTGTATCCAAACTCGGTCTTTTATTATACTTTTGTTATGTTTTTGTTATGTTTTATAATATTTTCGTAAATATTCTTTTATTTCATGATTGAATCGAGTTCTTTTATTTCATGATCGAATATACGCTCAAAGAAAAGAACTCTATTTGCTATTTCTTGTAATCCCATTTTCTGTGCAAAACCTTTTACCAAACATATTTCTATTCTAATGAAAGAGAAAGTGTGAACAATTAATCGAAAATTTATGAAATATTATTTCAACCCTTTTTTTAATCAAAAGGAATATGTTTGCTTGAAGCAGAATGTCCTTTTACGTGCGATACGACAGACGCGACTAACAAGATTTATTTTATATAATGTATATGATAATAATATCTGTGTCTGTATGTTCTCTATTAACTCTTAAACCCTTTGACTGATCTGAGCCATGTTTTGCGTAGTTACTGTCTAGAACTTTGCAAGAAATATAAGCTACCATGAAATCTGGACATCCTACTTCTTCCCTCTAATTTCATCTTCTTGACATTTTGTGATAACCTGGACAGTTTAAGGGTAGTTTAACCCTTTCGTCCTGAGTAGTATACATATTCAAGGATGAAAAGGTTAAGCTACTCTCTTAAAGTGAATCAGTGAATAGTCACTGATATCAGTTATAAGTATAGCACTGAGCAGTTTCAGTGCTGTACTTATAGCTGAAAATCAGTGTTTATTTACTGCTTTCAATGATGTTTCACTGATTCACTTTAAGAGAGTAGTTGTAGATAAAAAGCGAAATTTCTCTAACTTTAACAATATTGCAGTTAGAATACTTTCCTTTTGCTTTTAGAAGCATCCTTTTGAGATCACGTATATATGTATAAGAATAAAGTCCTCTGGGACTCAAAGGATCCCGCACTGAGGATGAAATTATACCTTTCTAGATTCCACATTTTTTAATTACCTCGAGATGACGTCAGACATCGTCGATTTAATTTAGCGCCTTTATCGTTTAGCTCCGCCGCGTGATATTGATCAGGTCGCTGGCGAGACTCATGAGTGTGTACCAACGAGTTAGTCGCAGATCGCATATCTCCCTGTGGTCCCAGCGTGAGTCGCGAATAATTTGCGGTTCGTCTCATCGGGTACTGCTCGTCCATATTTATCTGCCACATGTACTCCACGTCGACCGCACCAGTATTCGAGAAGGTGAACACGTATTCGCGCGTCTATCAATTAATAACATGTCAAAGGTAATTATATCGAATTATACCAAATAATTGCCGATTTCATGCTGCACTTTGTACAAATTTTAAAATCTGCTAACAGACTCTTGTTTGTTTCTTTATTTGCCATCCTTTTCGCAATATGTCGGAAAGGAAGAGAGGAGCATCACACATGGTGCGCGCCTGGAGAGGAAACGAAGGCAAAACGGAGACTGAGTTTTACTCTCCCATGAGGGAAATTCATGTATTACGCCAACCTCAACCGAAAATTGTTAGAATGCTGCACACGCGTCAGCTGTAATGTTTCTTTTGGTTTTCACGTGTAAACAACGGCCGGGATTGCATCGGATATAAAACCAACAACGACAGTCTGTATTTTATCGCTTGTGTCCCGTGACGGTTATGACGCGATGCTCGCGTACGCATCGATTCAAAAAATCTCCCCATTATTATGAACAAATATTTAAACTCGATATACACGAGCAATCGTGAAGTTATTTATATAATTCCTATTTTGCTCTCCCGACGCGGCCGGGCACGCGCTACAATCACAGCGAGAAATCCTGCGACCGATGGTCGAATCGCGTCACGCAACACAGGAGAGAAAATTGACAAACAGAAAAAAATGCAAAGTTCGGTGTATTCAAAATATCAATGTTTTTCTAAATGCGGTAAGAGAACAAAGAATTAAAAATACGAAATATAATTAGCAGAAATATCCTTTCTTCACGTTAATTTGATACTAGAATGCTCGACTCTCCCTCTTTCGCTACATGAAACTAAGTCTGTTTTACACAATTATGTAAAAAAAAATAATGTGGCTCATGTGTGTGGACAGAGTCCTCTAAATAAATCGTGTAGTGAACGTATTAAAACGTAGTAAACGTGTTTTCGCAATGCACTGACAATTAAATAAAGAGTCGAAGTAACTCTATTAGACATTCAAGTTATTATCATAAACATGTTAAAACTCTAAATTTTAATAAGAAATAAGAAGATTATAATTTTAAAAATTCGATCAAAAGGATAATTATTATTAATTAGCGTCAAAATGATAAAGTCTAAATTATTCTTATGGAAAGTCGAGTGACTAAGATAAAACATCCAATCCACCAAGCCAATAATTGTTCCGATCTTGTGTTGAATAGGATGAAAAGACAAATAGTTTAGATACCGATCAGAAAACGTTGGTTTATGATACCAGTCGAAAATAATTGCTATTACGTATTAAAATTTGACAGCATCTGGTTATGATAAAAAATATTTTACCATACCGTTTTTTGGTGTGGTTTTGAACAGACTGGCAAAGCTTTTTAAAAATAATTTGACAAATATTGCTTATTCTTGCAATAATAAATTATCAGAAATGATTCGTGTGCATAACAACAGGTTGCCTCCTGGTTTCCATAATAACGTTGTGTATAAATTGCAGTAGTTGTGAGGCGTCGTATGTTGGTTAAACTAGTAGAAGACTCTCTACGCGCATTGCTGAGCATAGGAGAATACCAAGGAGTTCTACAATTGAGTTAACGGCCATACAAGAATATCGTTTGAGAAAAAACCATGATTTCAATTGGGATCAAGCCAAAGTTTTGCATGAGAAACGTTATTACTTGAAACGCCTGATATCAGAAATGATTTATATTAAATTTCAAAAGCATGGACTTAACTCTCAAAAGGACACAGAATATTTGGGTAACAGCTACTGTAGCTTATTATGAAAATAAAACTCTGTTTATTTCCTTCTCTTCCAAGAGAACATTCCGTCGCCGCAATGTTAATGCTCGTGTATATAAATCTGTTATTATCTCTATTACTTAGACGTGGCAATGTTATCGTTGACAGGATCGTTTTACTTTTAGCCGAGCTCAACAAAGGTAATTTATATTGACCGTTTTAATTATTTATTATATTTTAATCTTACCTATTTTTATTTTATTTTATGGTTTTTTTATAGTTATGACGGCTGCTTCCTAGTATTAATTTGAACTTCTTAATATTAGTCGGGTAACGGTCTTGTCAGCTATAATACTGCGAATAACATTCATGTCATTTTATTAAGGTCTTTAATTAATTCTTTTATTTGTTAATAATGCATTCGTTTTGTAAACCTTGAGTTTTTATATCACTGAAGAGGGTTCATGATTGAGCCGAAACGTTTGATTATTTATATTGAGTATTCATGTTCAATAAATATTGCTCTATTTCTTAACACAAGGAAGGTTTTACCCATATGGTACATAGCACTATTAATCCTGTGCTTGAACTCGAATTAGCCCTTTTTCCCATTATTTAATCTGTATGTTGTCTTTATAATACACTAACAAGGGAAGATGTCAGAAGTGTTAACAACGGATTTTGATGAACGTTGCATATATTATAGAGAGGCTTTCCTCTACAATATATCCATAAGGATAAACGGATATTTTGCGATGTACTTTGGTTTCAGAAAAAATAAATTAATTATTTCTCTATATTAGATTCTAGTTACAAGTATCAAACACTTTTTTTGCAGTGCGCTGACAATCAAATAAAAAGTCGAAGTGACTCTGTTGGGCATTCAAGTTATCATAAAATCGTATAAAATAATTCATCACATTATCATCGATTTTTTGCGTTACTTTTTCTGCTTTAAAGACTATTAAAGGTCACGAAAGATTTCTTTCCTAAAGACCCCGAAAGACAGAAATGACTACAACAAAGAGAGTTAAAATGGATTCATCGAGCACTCTAGTGTTAAATCTCCATCGAAATCTCCGTTATTCCGTAGCGCAATCTAATTGCGCGAAAATGCAAGTAAGCAGTAATTACGGTCTACGGGATCTAAACAACCTGAAACATTAGCGTGTCCTTGAAATTGATCTCCTTAATGAGGCAAGAGTACTTGGAGAATGCCACGGTCGCGTTAAGTAACACTTGGATGCACTTCGTCGTGTCAGATACGATTTCGTGGTTCGGCTCGTTAACGGGCTCGACTGCTTTTCTCACGAACGTTTCAGCATTTATCCCTTGCTCACTCGCCACGTCGTCGGAATTTATCGCCAGCCATCGCACCTCCGTCTTCCGATCGTCCCAGCAGCGTTCTTTCGTGGGATCAACAAGCTCGATTGTGCAGACCGTACAGTGGAGACACGTCTACATCGTCAATGTGAAATAATTAATCATGGATAGAAGAGACCGGATCTAGCAAGTTGGTGCAGGAGTTATGTTGGCCATAAACTTTGTTTATATATTTTTCTCGTAAGAGAAACAGTGAGAGCAAAACAGCAAAATGTTGCTTTTACGACATCTGAGTTTCACTCAAATCAGAATAACATTACAGTTAAGACTCCTTGTACCTTGCCGGCCATATCGGACTTGTGACGTCAGAAGCGAAAAATGATGATAAAAGTTGCGTGGCATTTCTGAACAATAATAAATATAGACGAAAATGCATTTGAGATTGCTTGAGCACATTTGTAAAATTATCCAAAAAATATTCTCTTTCAATTATTTTTTAAAATAATTTTTTTATTTAAAACGATTTATTTTATCTAAAACATTTATTTAAAACAAATATTAAAATAATGACAAATATTATGGCCAGCCTCCATTTCGATATCTATTCATGTTTTTTAAAAGAATTCGTAAGAATTTTTTATTTTCCTGTTATCTAAACCAAAATCTTTTCTTAAGTAATGTAGTTAGAATGAAGTTTCATCCGCAAATGTAAACTTATTTTGAATAATAAAAGTAATTTCCACGCATAAAATGGTTGAAATCGATGAATAGATCAATGGAATGGTTGAATCGTATGGATGGGCAAGGTAAAATGGATCTTACGCCAATATAAATAAAAACAAAAATTACTATATTCTAATTGTTAAAAATATGTCTTTATACTCTTTTCCGAAAGAAAATAATAAATCTTCTTTATTACAAAATTTTAAACAATAAAATATTTTGCACAAAGTGCAAAGTCGTACGTATTTTATCCATGTTTTCCACTTTTGTATCCTAGATTGTTAGCCACCTTAATCTAAAATCAAGTAAAAATGGTCACGTTGTAGTATATTCATGTTTTCGTTGTTGTTAAATAAAATAAAGAGTTTGCTGGATCGTTCTTGGTATAAAAACATAGAGAAAAGTTGTCTCTATCATGTCTGTACAGTCAGTCAACAACTAGTTATCTGAAAAATTGAAACTTCGAAATTTTCAAAAAAATCTTGCCCAGATCTCCTTTGCATCCCACTGTAGCATTAATTAAACGAAAGTTCTGCAAACGCAAATATCAAGTGTAAACGTTCGCGGAATATAAATTCGATCTTATTACGTCGACATAGCTCGCTGGTTCCGAGGAGAGAAACGTCGCGATTATTTCCTTGCGAGTCAGACACTTGAGATGACCGACAGACGGAGTGAATACAATATTGGGATGCGCGCTCCATTGGAATCGCAAGTGCCGATCCGCCGATTTATTGACGATCCTGAAGTTTTTTCTGTACATCTTGTTGACAAAGCAGCATCCGTAGTTTAGTTTGTAGATCAATGTGACCGGGATAAATGCTGGTGATAATACTGTAAAATAACTAGTAATTTAATGAACGTCCAGAGATACTTTAAACCAATTAACTCATTGACTGCTAAATGAGTTAAAGTAACAGTCTCAGAGACAAGTTCCAATTTCGGATGAAACTTAGCTCATTAATGTATTAAAAAAGCATAAATTATAGCGTACACTACGGAAATATTTTTTTTATAATATATAATAATATTATAATATATAAAAAAAATATATATATATTCTTTAATTCTTTTATAATTATATTCTAAGGTTAATGTGTAAGACAAAAATATTTTAAATAAAAAATAGTAAATGTTTAATATATATATATATATATATATATATATATATATATGTTTAAATTAATATTTAAATTAAAAATTGTTGATAATAAAGAAAAATCTAGAATTATTATTATATATCATTATATATTATATATTATTTTGTATTAGCGTCTTCTTCAAATTTATGAAACTCTGTTAGTTATGTTACGTACATACCATTCTATATGGACTAAAACAATATGAATATACACATTTATTAATGTCAAATTATTAATGACATTATTATTGGACATTATTAAGGATTTTATTAATGTAAAATTGAGTATTGTATGACTCCCGTTATAGAGATGCGGAATAACTAGAGATCTAACACATTGCGATTACGCATAAACGTTTCTAATTACTTTTTTTTTTAATTTAGGATCAACTAATTTAAAGTTTAATAATTTCTTTTGGTTTTTGAAACTATGTTTGTTGCTTACATTGGTTTTAACATTTCCTCAATAAATTTATGTAAATAAATGAAAGTTATTCTAATTTAAAAATAATCCATGAAGAAGACTGTTATATTATCTCTTACTAGAGAGAAGTATTTTTTATTTTATGTACTAACTACGAGTTAACTCACATAGGTTTTTGGTGAGTTTTACTGAACAAATCCTCATAATATAAATGTCTCATAATTTTTTAAAGACGTCCAAAAGACACTTTAAAAAATAAAATATCTTGGACGTTTTTATTTATTTAATTAAATAATATAATTACAATTATTATAATTAATTATAATAATTTAATTTATTAAATATATTTAATTATAATAATTATAATATTAATTACAATAATTTAATTTATTAAATATAGTATATTAAAATAATTTCAAAATAACAACGGAAATATACGAAGTTCTCTGATACCATTATCGTAGTCGACTTATTGGAATAAAATTTGCGGTATATTATAAAAAAATATCGAAATATGAGATTGTTGAAAATAGTCATAAAAAAAGTCGTATAACCTCCTAAATGTTAAAGAGAACTATATTAAAATTTTATCAAAGTATTAAATTTTTCTTAACTTCAGGGAACACTAAGATACAAAAGTATTCTTTTCAGATTTTTTTATTTTTTACATTTTGCAGCGCAATTAACTGTTAAACTTGAAAGATGCTAAGAAAATAAATTTTTTACGTATTAATCAATAGTCCAGCATACTAGATATGTGATTTTACACATTTCAGAGTAATAAGGAGAGTCAGATTTGAAAAAAATGTCTAACTAATTGCACACTAGGATTGGAAAGGATAATCGCTGTACCATCATTCCTCGATTGTAAATCAACGCGTATTACTTTAATATACTAATTGCTTAAGTTGATTCTTCGACAAAACTAAAGACCTATGCGAAAAAGACAAATCGAAAAGACTTATGCGTGTTAACTCGTAGTTGACGCATGTAGAACGGAGAATGTTCTTTTTCTTTTGTTCTCATAGAAAAATTCTCTTTCACCTCTTTTATTCCTTCAATTCTTTTCCTTCAATTTTTTTCATAGGAAAAATTCATAGAAATTTTCATAGAAATTTTTATAAAAGAAATTCTTTTCCTTCAATTCTTTTCATAGAAAATTCACTTTCACCTTCTGTTACGCTGCCCGATCGTGATGACGATCTTTTTTGTTTGGAATTGGACTTCTGTTTTTCGTTGAGAACGGTGGATTTTGCACTCGCGAGTTCCAGTCCCTCCAGTACGACTAATTCCGCATACACCTCGCCCTTCAGGCCGATCGTAAGATTCTCATCGGGATTATCAGCGACAAATAATCGCACCAGACCCTCGTATTTACCGACGTCTCGCGGGTTGAATTTCACTTCGATCGACGCCGTTTCCCCGGGCGTTAAATGAACCACGACGCATCGATCGCTCGACTCTAGAATATACATGAATGTTTCTCTTTTGCGCTTTAGTTAGTTTTTAGAAAAATCTTCCTTTTTTAGAAAGTCTTTTTAAAAAGACTTTAAGACTTTTAGAAACTATCGTCATTGTTGTCTCGCGAAAAAAAACGAAACTGACTTCGTTCAGCTTGGCAAACCCGTCCATTAGTCGAGTCGTCTTCGTCGTCGCGAGCTCCGAAAGTGAAGAGGAATTGCGGGTCCACATAGATCTCGACGATCACTTTGGCGGATATCACGCTGACGTTTTGGAAAGCGAAGCTTTTCGCAGCGCAATCGTTCACAAGCGTAAGGCCGAAGTTGAGTACAGCTCCTTCTCGTTTTTCATACGGTGGCTTCACTATTGTAACTTCTGGCACGCAAGCCTGTCCCGTTAATTTAACAAAGAACTTCTCGTCCTTTAAGTGCGAGGGCTGCTCAACCTTTATTCCGAGAACCGCATGACATGTCTGCAATTATGAACATAACATTGAACGCAGTAAAAGAGCGAGGTGAGAGCAATATTTTCATTATTGTCCGATATTACTTCTTCTCTTTCTCCCTTTTTGAAAAACATTGTTTTCTTCTCGATTTGAGCGCGCAGCTTTCTTTCATATTGTCAAGTTCGTTAACTTTCCGTCGCGGTCAGACGACGCAATCGCAGAATGACAGGCACAGTTTTTATATATTGGGTCATTTTATTATGAAAACAATTTTCTTTAATTAGAAAATATGCACAGAAAATGAAATGCCATTATGATGAGCTTGACTATATTATGCGTGCGTGTATAGTAGACTTGATTATTAATTAATCGAAAATATATGGAGAGAACTTTGTAATAAAAATTACTGTAAGATTTTGTAATCGAGAAATAGGGATCGACATTCTGACTAATTGACTCTATTCTTTCATTTCATATATTTTTCTTTTATTGTTCTGTTTTCATTGAGTTAATGGCTTTGGATTTTATGTGTCTTTCGTGCACAGTAACTACAAGAAAAGCGCTACACCTTTGGGATTCCAAGTAGTTTTACTTCACTTACCAGACTTCAGTTACTTACCAGACAAACGTTAGCATAATTGTCCAGTAATTGTTCGTGAAGTGCATTAAATTCCTATCAAGAGTCTTTTAGATTTCGAGACATCATTTAGAAGTTCGTATTGTCTGGATAATTTGCACACCGCGAAACAATTTTAATTAAGAGTAATCATTCGGAGAACATGATATCAATTTGTAAAAATGAACAAAAACTTTTAGATTGAATCTGCTTGATATATACTTTCAGATTTGACCAACATCTAAAAGTATAAGACCAAAAGTTCGCTGAGCGCTTATACAGGGTGTCCCGCATAAGACGTACCAAAAGAAAAATATAAGTGAAACATACGGTCGAAGTCATTTTTCGAACCACGTAAAATTTCGAGTTATTAAATAAAATAGATGAGCTAATCAGAGCGCGACGCGGCCGGCGAAGGAATGGCCGATTGCTCACGTGCCTATCTCATAGGCTTAGAGGGGGGGACTACGTCTTAAATCTGTGTGATAGACCCGCGAGCAATCGGTCATTTTTTCGACGGCCACGTCGCGCTCTGATTAGCTCATCTATTTTATCTAATAACTCGAAATTTTACGTAGTTGTTCGAAAAATGACTTCGACTATATGTTTCACTTTTATCTGTTCTACTTATATTTTACTTTTGGTACGTCTAAGAAAAGCGATTACTCAGTTAACTTCCCTTGTTTAATTAATAGCTTTAATTAATGGCTACTTTCGACGAAGAATGTTTTGGGAATATCATATTATATCATATATTTTGGGTCATATCAAAGAAATATCATATATTTAAGAATATTTTCTTGATAATAGTCTTGAAATATATACGTATCGCAAATTGGAGAAAAGCTCATCATTATCATGTATTTAAAAGAATTTATTCTCTTTACAAGGATATAAAACTCTATCCAAGAAAATATTGGTTCGAATTTATGTAGTAAGCCAGCTAAATTTTTGTTTTAATTTAATATTCTTAATTGAAATGCTAAACTTGTTGGGATTCAGGATATATTTTAAGTAAAGTTAATATTCTCTCTCTCTTCTCTTGTAATAGATTTGCGGATATATAAACTTAAAATACTCGAAACGAGTAACATTCACTTAAATATTTATGCAGTATGCATTTTTCTGTGTGTACACCCATTGTATGCATTATGCTCGAAGGAAGCTTAATTTCACTTTCAGCTTGTGTAAAGTCGCAATACGTTTGTACTTATCTTCGATTCCAGAATTTCTTCACGATCGGCATCGATTTTACGTATTAAACATTAGGCCTTTGCGAAAACGTTACCTCTAATAGTGTCGGGTTGAACGAAATCGCGAATCTCTTCTGACTCATCGGCGAAACGCGTTCTTTTGCGGGTGTCACTACGAACGTGTCGGGTTCAATGGTCGCGGATGAAAATGACTCCAGCTGTAGAGTCAGTTCCACATCAGCAGGTATCACGTTCCGGTTGTAAAGCAGGAAATACGCTGTATAAGTGTGATGCACTTTGACATGGCGAAAATACAGGCACCTCTCTTGACGTGCAAATACGGTATGCGCGCCAATCTGTTGGAATTAATAGTCAATTTTTTCTACGACTTTTGTCCTTATGTCTTTCTTATGTCCTTGTTTTTCTTTGTCAGATGCCATTTTAAAATGTCGGAGAGAAAAGAGAGTACCTCTTTTTGGCAGACAAAGTCCTGGACACGATCTATTATATGATTTCCTAGGAACATAGCGTCGAGGTTGTGAAAGTCGACCGTAGGTACGCAGGAATTCACAGAAAGTGTTATTAATTTGCCATTTCGTTCCTCGGAAATGCTGTCTGGTATAAGAATTAGTATTTGCTCCTCCTGAGAGCCTACGAATTCTGGGTAGCATTTTATCGTTACGATATCGACCTCGTTTGGTCGCACGTTCCCCTCGGTCTTTGTTACGGTAAAAGGGCCGACTTGCAACTTAGTTGGAAATTCTGGCACTTTGCTGTGAGAACAGTAAGACGTTAGCATCGAAAGCAATGCCTTACGTGTAAGTACTTAAGGAGGTTGTAAGGAGAATGCATAATGTTAAAAAGATAACATGCAATTTGTAATATAATTTTATTTACAATAATATTTGCACGTGTGAATTTTTTCAGATTGCCGGCTATTTTTGTGTAAATTAATACATAGTTCCAAATTTTGCAACAAACTCTTATAGGAGACTCGATTCTATGCGTATTGATTTTCCACAACAATTAATATTTAAAATATTAAGAAGCGACTAAATTTATGTACAATATACGAAGAGAGTATGTCATATTGAAGTATTAAATACAAATTTCAATATAATTGACAGTGTTGTCTTGAAAATATAGCAGTAGAAAGTTCATAATTTATAGTAAAACTCGGAGACAAGAATACAACATATACACATATTTAAATATTTAAGTGTTGAACATTAATTAAATTTGACTTGAGTAAAATAATCGGTATGTCCATAGTCAAAGTAAATTAATTATTATTCGTGATAAAATCACAAATTTATCACAGTTTAATCAACTGATAACATTAATTATTAATAATTCAACCATAATAAAGATCTATTACATACAGTAAAAATAAAAACTATTGCTTAAAAAAATAGATTTTCATGACTAACTCATGATGATGATAGAAGAAAGATTTGTCTAGAGAAGGGAACAACAAAGGGAAACCTCGCATTAGAATTTTCAGGTAATATATACCTTTTATTCTTATTCCTTTTATAATATATACCTTTTATTCTTGTCTAACGTATTAGTCGCTTTGTCGGAATCCTTTCCAGTTACGTTTTCCTTCTTAACCAGCGTCACGTAGGCGTTCGATGGGTGTTTAATGGATGCTTGCTGAATGAAATAATGGAAGGGGAACTGTCCAGTATTTTCAATATGCAGATTCATCGTCTCTTCGGTGCACACACCAAGTGAGGCGAAGTTAACTTCAGGATAAGGATAAACGCGGAATCTATAATGAAACAAAGACAATTCGTGCGATATCGAACAGCTGTTTCGTAATAACGACCGAGAATCTGCTGAGAAAGAGAAATACTTGTATGAAGCAAAGGAAAATCTTTCGCTTGAAGATGTGAAATTTGGACAGATATTAGTCGTTTTTGAAGGTAATAACAATTTACCTTGTATAATAAGCAATTACGGAAACTGTCAATGGAATTTGTGCAATCACAGCGGCTTGTTTGTTAGTATCGAGAAGATGGCACTTAAGTATTGGACACTCTTTCAGAGTAATTTCGTTTTCTGGTAGAAAAGTTATCTGGGAGAAAAGAACGACAATTTTATTTTAACCAATTTATGCGCATCTTAATAGGGGAAAATGTTCAGTAGTCAGCATTCTACTTGTTTTAGATATTCTTGATATTGTCAGATATTAAAGTGTATGGGAATTTAAACAAAAACGAATAAATAAATAACATATAATAATTGATAAATAATTAAGAAATAAATTCCCCGTATATCTTGATATTCGATGGGATACGAACGAAAGTGCCGAAAACTGATGAATGCTGTAACGAATGCTGGCATTTCTCTTTAATATACACGAACAAAATTTTATACTAAAAATTACTAATAATTTCGTAACCCAAGAATAAATCAACATTTTAACGGTAATTAACTATCTTTTCACTTTATATATGCCATTATGCATTAAGCTTTTATTTATATTTTGCTATTAAAAAATTTGTTATGTTCCTGGTGAAATTTCCTATTAATTAATATTATTAATATTAATTCAAATTATTACGTGCGAGAAAGTGGAAAGTGATTTCAGAAATGTACCTTTACTATTGTCTCTTTCTGTGATTCGATAGAACCAGACGCAAGACTAATGAAATTTCCTATATTTCTTAACAAAATAGACCTTGCTAACAGTTTATTTTTGCACTGTTAGAAATATAGCAAAATTGAAAAGAATTTATATAAAAAAAAAACTATATTAATGTGCACGGACATATACTCTTGCCGTATGAACGAACAATTTCTGATATTAACTAGAATTTAATACAATATAATTAAATGCAATATTACTAATATTAATTAAAATTATTACGTGCGAGAAAGTGGAAAGATTTCAAGATGGAAAATAATTTCAGAAATGTACCTTTACTATTGTCTCTTTCTGTGATTCGATAGAACCAGACGCAGGACTAATTTCAATCTCTTTCTTTAGTCTGGCGTATAAACTGGATGTAACCATGGCTTTATCTCGTTCCTCCAAAAGTATGCTAGACAGATAACACATTAATGAATGTGTCATAAGTAACATATCGCAAGTTCAAAGAAAAAATTATACAAAAGAAAATCTCATTGCAAGCGCAAATATCGATCAAGTCAGACAAGTCAGAGATATAATTGTTTAACGTTAGCTCCCAGATATAAATATTCTAGCTCGCAAGACACACTTTTCTCTACACTTACACATATTTAACTTCATAATTTCCTCGATTACTTATTGTGAAGTTTGCACTTGTAAGAAAGCCAACTTTCACGCACTTTAAGTCAATTGGATTTGCATGATTAATGTCAACAGCTACATCGTACGTTTCGCCAGATAAACAGAGGGTTTCCGTAAAAATCGATTCTACGTCATTCTCGTGGAAGAAAGCCTCGACAGTTAAACTCGCGTGAACCGTTCCAATCTGAGACCAGAAAATTTCGTTTTTGGAAAGCCTTACACATACACGTACACTTTTTCACCAAAAAAAGTCAGAATAACTTTCGTGAAAGATTATTATTGTCTTGGTGAAGTCTCATAATTACATTTAAATCAACAAGATTTAAATATTAAAAATTTAGACGAACTCAAATGTCATACTAGATGATACTTGACGCAATATTACCTTGCTGGCGTGATAACAGAACTCAATCTCTTGATCACTACCAGCTTTGACGATTCCGCTGATCGGCGCGAACGATATTTGAGAATCCAAAGATCCATCGGGAACTAGACGCCAAAAGATCGGAACCGGGGATCTGTTTCGAATGGCACGAGTGAGAAAGTCTCGTCTATACAGAAGCACTTGGCCAAAGTACACTTGTTTGTCTTCAAGTTCGATATCCAATTTCGAGCCATTGCATCGAAGCTGAAAGAAGTCGCATTAACGTTAATACGTTCGCTACCGGGGTTTATATAGAGAAGAGACCATATCTATAAACCTCTTTGTCCTTTTTTCATAAAATAGATTTATTTTGATAATATGCAGACATAAAAAGTACCACACATATATGACACATATATTGTGGTAACAAACGCGATATTTTATGGTAACTTCAATACGTTTTAAATAAGTGATATTGGCGTATCTTTAATTCCTGAGCAAAAAAAAATATATATATAATTATATAATTTTTATATAACAATTATACAATAATATATAATTATAAATAACCTATATATAAAAATTTTTTGTTTCTATATTATCTCATACATATTCATATGTAATTATACATGTCCACACGGAAGAAAATACCGTTGAATGGAGAAAAAAGCAAATCATTTGATTTTAAGGTTGATGTTTTGACATCACGAGCTGCTACAAATATAAGCAGTTACTTTTATTGTGTTTAAGAGCGTTTCTTTCCACGTGGAATATATATGGAAATATATAATTACGTAATTTATGTGCAGCCTAGAAAGACGGAATTCGTATATAATTTTATGTAGTAACTTCTCCGCGAATATATCGACGTGAGAATTATCCGCCACATACATATGCATCTTGTCGCATTAACGTTAACGATTTATAATAATTTCAACATATTTTAAATAAGCAACGAAGTGGCATATCTTTTATCGTTACCTCGAATATATCGACGTGAGGATTATTCGCCACACATATATGCATCTTGTCGATAAATGAGCCAAGCTTCGTAACACCCGCCGATATCTTCAACGATCTACATTGTTCAGCCTACAAGTATAAATTATATTAAATTATTGTGTTAAAAAAATATATTCTGAACGAAATATCTCCAAAATAGCTATGGCTCACTGGAATGCAAAGCTTCTCTTTATCCAAAATGAAAATGTCTGGAATATTTTCCTCTAAGCAGAAATACACTTCCGCGTCAATCTTAGATATGTTGCGGAATTTAAATTCCGCATCACGACGATGTTCACTGTTCATAAATTAAGCGTCTATAACTTATTTTATTTCGTCGAAAAATGTAATTGTTTCAAAACGCACCTTTTATCTTTCCGAAACACCAATAAGGCTCCAAAATCGTAAGCAGTACTGTCGAGAAAGTACGCAGGATCGTGTATGTCGGCAATCTTCATTTTTTCTACCTGCAAACGCATCATTGGTTTCGTTAAACTATCGTAAAAAGAAAATATAGTCAGTACTCGATATTTTCACAAAAGTTATAAAACAATTATGTAATATAATTATATAATAAAAATAATATTATATAATAGTTATGTAATAAATATAATAATTATATAATAAATAATTATATAATAAAAGTTATAAGACAACAGAAAAAACGTCAAAATTTTTCAAGTCGAATTGGATCGTGAACGATCACTGAAAAGAAGGTTATTACTTTTGAAAAGACAGCATTAGGATTCATATCCAGCCGCGGGACATCCGCGATTCCGCGAACGTTGATGTCGTAAGTTACATCATCGCCGTCGATGACGGATAATGCGTATGTGTGTCGGTGAGTTCCCATTTCCTCGGGGTGATATCGGATCTTGAACCACTGACTATCGCCCGGCTGCAAAATCCATCGTGGCTTCAACATCTCCTCCAACATTATTGTATCCGCGTTGGATTCGACGGTGTCTTTGTTCTCGATCGTGGATGCGTTCAACGAAACAGCGTCTTCGGTTTTACTGACGTGACGCGATCGTTCTCGACGTCTGGCATTTTCGGAGTGATTCGCTCGATTATTAAGCGCGTTCGCACTCGAAGAATCGACCGCCGCGAACGTTGACTCGTTCATTGCAGACAACGAGACTATGTCATAGATTCCTAATCAACGACACGAAACGATTATTTACTCGTTTTTTAATTAAATGCATTTACATCGAGGAAAAAATATATAAAAATTTCTTTGCGCGATATAAGTTTTATTTCTACGAAATAAAGTTGATTTCTGTGAAATATAAACTTTATATATGTATGTGAAACAGTGATTGTCAATTTGAGTATATAAGCTTTAAGTGTATAAGGAAAACTGGGGCAGAACATATATTTAAACACATCATATTCTCAATCTAATATTTTGCACTGCCCATTAATAAAAATTACTTTTGAATAATAAAAATATATAGGTTTTTTTTCGTTGAAAATCGTATAAAATATATTCTTATAAGTAACTTATCTTTGTTTAACGTCATGTAATCTCATTTGAAGATTAACATGTCAAAAATATTTTCCAAAAATAATGTCCTTTTCTTCTCTGTATTAACTATTGCATTTTTTTCAATGTATTAACTTCTCTGTATTAACTATTGCATTTTTTTCAATGTAATAAATAAGTGAGTATGACATGATAAAATAATGATAATAATAACCAATAAATTTAATGTAAGAAATTTTTTATTATAAGCATAAAAAAAGATAAAAAAAGATTTTTTGGAAATAAGGATGCATTATAAGTATAATGTTGTAAGTATATCGTCAGAATAAAATTTGTTGGAGTCAATAATTCTTATTCGGTTGTTAAAGACAAGCAAGCCCAACTGTGGTCAAGAAAAAAGATGGGTCGATATAAGAATTCGAACAAAAAAACCCGGAGGAAAAAAATACACTCGATAAAGTAATAAAAGAAGACGGTCAGTAAAACAAAAAAACTATTCTGACGTTTCTTAAGACGTTATTTAAACAAAATTATTGAATATTTTTAGTAAAATCAAGTGAAACAATTTTCTTCTTTCAACCAAACATGAATAATTTCGAATAAACAATAAAATTATTTGAAAAACTAAACAATGATAATTATTGATTAAATATCGTAAATTTTTTTGAAACCATTCCAATATCAAAAATCTGATTCAATGATTAAAAATTTGTTTAGATATGATTGGAACAGAATATTATATTATACATTATATTCAAAGAAATCGTTTTCTCTGCAAATCGCATTGTAATATACTCGCCATCAACCTCGGTGTCTCGTTTCCTTATGCAACTCGGTTTGAGAATATAATATCTCTTCGGCGAGAGGTCCAGTTCCGGCGAGACTTCAACAGCTACACGTGAAATATTGTTGTCTTATTAAATTTTGCGTGCGACGACTCGGGGAGTCTATTTTAAAAGTGATCGCCTCGCTTACGAAGAGCTTCTTTGGCTGAGCTATTTTCGCTCATCTGGTTAACCACCACGTCGTACATCACCCGATCCCACGGATCCTTGGCGTTTACGTACCAGATACGAAATTCGCTCGCGTGAGTCTGCTGAAATAAATTATAGCGAAAGTTCCCGCACGGCAGGCGTATCGAAAATGCAAAGCGCGCTAAATTATATATCACCTCACTGACATCGGGACTCTTGTCTCCTGTTTTACCGGTTTTCACGATTTCGCCGTTTGTCGTGAAAAGCGTGTTCTACAAATTGACGAATATACTATGATACCCGCTTATACACAATTTAGGGAGGAACATATACACTATTAAATGACTGGTCCGAATAACCAGAATCGTGTTAAGGGGATGCTGGAGTCGATGACGAACTCGAATAATGTCGATATAATGCAGAGACGATCATCACTGACATAATCACGCTATCTTTTTTGTATTTCTTGTATATACAGAATTTAAATGAATGTGTATTGCTTTGTTTTACCATATTCAACGGAAAACCATATATGTGTAGAAATCTTTCTGCAAACTTTTTCGATATTTTTAAGCTTTTAAAGGCAGATGCAAAGGTAGAGCAATGTTCTTCAAAATTTTTCTGTTTAGAGCATCCACACTTTCGGCATGTACAAGCTGCGAAACTTTTGGATTAGGCAAATATTACGCTGACAGATTGAGATTTTACATTACAAATTTTTTGTTCGTTTTCGTCACATATCGAGCAATGCTCCAATTTATCTTTGCACGTACTTTCATTGGGTAAAAGCATTTGTAATTCTGTGTAACCAATACGACGTAAACTTTGCAGAAAAATGTCAGTGTTCTGTCGGTAAAGTTTTCAGCTTCAGCATCCCCTTAAGCGAACTCAATTTCTGGGTTATATAGGATAAACTAATTGTCTTAATTGTTTTAAATCGTCAGCATAATTCTTGTAATCTCTGGTAAATCACTCCATGTCAAATAAGTGTTAAATATTCAGCAAAATTGACTAATCGTGATATTCTGACTTGTTTACACAGCACAGTCACAGTAAAATAAGTTGTCAAATATAGCGAAGCGAATAATATTATATTAAATCTTTCTTTTAGATAATATGTACCATGATAGACAACTGATTTAAATTGCGACTATCCAACCCATTATAAAAGAGAAAATTGATAATTTTAGCTTAAAGCTCCTTCTACCTCGCCAGCCATGTTAGATGTGTGACGTTAGAAGCGAGGAATGACATATGTTGACGAAAGTTACCTGCTATTTTTGAATAAAGATAAAGAAAATAAACATGGACGAAAGAGTATTTGAGATTGCTCGAACATACTTGTAAAATTGTTCGAAAAGTATTCCTTTCCCCTGATGATCAATAAATCATACAATAAATGGTGAAATAATATGAAATGAGTTTTATCTATATACTTTATTTCACTATTTATTATACGATTATTTATTAACTGTCAGGGGAAAGGATAATAAAGAAATACTTTTCGGACAATTTTACAAGTGCATTCAAGCAGTCTCTTTTGTCCATATTTATCTTTATTTAAAAATGGCACGTAACTTTCGTCAGTATGTCGCTTCTGACGTCATAAATTCAACATGGCCGAGGTGAGGTACGAGGAACCTTGACAATAAAAAATATAATAGCTGACAACCGAAGATGCCAGCAGCCATAAAACTGTAAAAAGTAGTCAGGTTCCAAGCAATATACACGGCCACATATCATACAAAGCTTCAAGTAGTGAAGTTGCTCGCTTATATTTCTGTCGCCGTGATGAGAATTTATCTACGGGTGAGCGAAGTAACAAGCTCAACCTGTCCATAGCCGCTGAGGTATATCTAAATTCCGTATATTGTAACTTATTCAATAGTCTTAAAGAAAGTGTTGTAATGATTTCTTATTCTTGAACAAATTTTGCAAACGTCCAAAAATTATCAAAGTCATTAATTTAATATACTAATCTGATTTACTTAACTCTCCATCTAAAGGTTGAATCATTCACATTGTACAGTTAGATTCTTTTGCATAGTAGAAAGAATATTTATAACGTCTATATAACTACATTTCAGTTTTATTAACTTGTCACTTCTGATTAATTTTTTTAGTGTTTTAGATTTTTTAGTATATTAGATTTCTACATTAGATTATTGAATATATTTAATTTTTATTCAATGTTCCTCAATTGATGCAATCAAATTTGCTCAACCCAAAGACTCAATTCGTTTTACCTGATCTTTTCTTTCAATGTACAATAAAATCGTGTGAAACATTACCTTTTTAAGAGGATCCCAATTTTTTATGATGTTTTCTATGACCGAGAGATTGCTGTGATAATTGTTCATAGCTTTGGCAATATTCTTCAGCTCTTCTGGCATTTCCTGCTTCTCTGAATATCGCACCAAATAAAATGAGATCGTGATTTGCCTTGCTGAACAACTTAATCTCCGTCACGTTTAACTTTGAGTGCTACCTGGTTTCAAGTCGCTTCTGGTTTCCAGTTCTTTAGGATCTTGAGTCGTTTTCTTGCTGACCGACGCTTTGGAAGTTCGGAATTTTTCCTCCTGTTTATTGGATTCCTCGTCCTTCGTTATTTTATCTATTTTCCTACTTTTTGCGGTATCTACGTTGAAAGATTCTGAAGAAGATTTCTGTAAAATATTTTACCAATAAATAATATTAACGAAAGAACGCCATATTATCATCGACTTTATAAAGTGAGATGAGAAAAATTGTATAACATAACTACGTAGATCTTTATACATAAAATTCTCAAGGATAGGAGAGAGAAAATTCAAATGACACATCTCGTAGTTAGAATAAAGTCGATACTTCTCTTTTTCGCAGCTCTGTCATCTGTTGAAGAAATTGCGTTCGCCTTTGTAATGCTTCTCGCTTCTTTATCGGCAAAGTCGATTCCAAATAAAACTTCTTCTCATCTTCTGCGAGTAGCTCATATTCGGATAACCACATTTCGTCAATTTCTTGGATTCTTTTATTAGTTTCTTCCATCAATCTTCTCGCTAGCCGTATGATTGATGTAAGAATATCAAGGCTTAATGACTTTGGTAAAATATGATCTATTACGCTAATTCACCTTCCAATTCACGCAACTCGTTCATTTTCCGAATATATTTATCCATTGAGTTCATAAAAGTCACAAACAATGAATATTCCACGTGCCCGACGATGTCGAACAATGCGAATAGCGTCTTGATTTCGCTTTTAAAGAAGACATTATTCAAAGTCTGCAGCACAAAGCCCTTTTTGAAGTCCGCCAACGATAGCCTGCTTATTGAAAATATAACAAGAGTAGATTTGAAGAAAATGCGAGTTCCAAGAAAATGCGTTTATAATAACAAATTATCCGCATTTGTATGACTAATAAAATGGAATAAATACGTTTGATGAAAGGATAATATACGTGAGTTAAAAAATATAACTCGAGTAAAATAGAAAATCATAATAATGTCCAAATGACGAAAAAATTATCGAATTGTAATTAAAAAATGATTTTTTTAGTCATTTTGACATTTTAACGTTACTGTGATTTTTATTTTCTATCTGGGAATAATCAAAATAAGTTAGAAATAAGAAATATTTTAATTTCTATTTTTTAACATAATCTCATTTCTATTTTTTATATAAAAACGTATAAAAAACACACACATATATAAACACTATTTATTTTGTTTTATATTTCTAACGTTTAAACTTCTACCTATGAATTATAACAAAGCTTTGGGAACAATTAAGATTTTAGTCGTTATTTTTAATTATCTTCTTTTTATAGTCGTTATCTTTTTTTTGCTAAAGATAACGTAGTGTATTTTCATAAAAATATTCTCAAATAGCGGTATGATGACAAATGGTATATTAATGATATTAATATAATACGCGTCTCCAACGTGTCAATAATACGTCAGCAATATGTCATTTGTCGTCATCATGATGTCATCATATTTGCTGAGATTTACACTTTAAAGCAAAATAACTTTTGACTTAAGCTCTGAATCAATGTCAAGTTGTTTGTATCATTTTCGAATGCGATTAATTTATGAGTTCTTCAAAATTTTTGCATTCTTTTTAAATTATAGATAATATAATTTTATCAAACATTACCTTTCTCGAAGAACTTCGGTCAATAAGTGAGCATCAATTCCGAGAAAAGTGTCATCTTGTATTCTACTAGCATCTCTCTCGCCGACGTTCTCTTTTGTCAATTTTGTCACATAATTGGGCAGATTTTTCTCCAACAGCAGGATCGTTTGAATCTTACTTTCGTAAAGACTCACGGGATCCAGGAATTTTAAATCTTGCTCTCGCGGAATTTTTGCGAGTTCCTCTTCAAATCGAGTAATTGGTTCACGGGATGGCGCGTCACTCTCGGAATGTCTATTAATCTCAGGCACCGTCTTTGAATCGAGTATCAGAGGCGATTTCGGATTTTCAGGTGATATCTCATGCGTCACTATCTCTCCGTTATGTTCCACAAATTTGGTTATTTCTGCTTCTAGCAGTGTAGTTTCCAAGACCTGTCTGGCGTAAAAAAAGAAATTCGAAATTATTTATTCTCTCCTTCAAAAAAGAATAATTAGGAGTCTAGATAACACGAAGAGCATGTTGTTCTCATATTTCATTTAGTACTTATCTGAGAGGAATAGTGGATACAAGATCCCGAAATAGTCCTTTAAGAACATAAATATTTTCCCTTAATTAAAATCGGAATAATAGTTTAAAAAATAGGAAAAACTGATTTAGGAGTAGTAAAATAAATTTTCCAATCTCTTAATAAATTTTGTGCTAAAAAAAATATTCTCCATCGTGAATAAAAATAAAGTTAAGCGACGTGTTATCCTAGATAAAATAAAATTTCTTGCAAATATATGATATTCTGTTTTGGATAATCAATTTTCATTCATAAAATGATTTAAAATAGAACATATAGGCAGATGAGATAAAGTTGGCCCATAATTAAAAGCCAGCAGGAAGCTTATCTCTCGCGAAAACAACAGAGCTATTAATCAAGATACATATTTTATGTCTTCTTTTTTTATACTCTGCGTTACTGAGCAACTAAACTCGCACAAGATGGCCACGTTGCTACATATTTGTGTTTTAGTTATCACAAAATAAAATATATGGTTAACGGGATTGTGACGGGTATTAACACATAGAAGGAGACTACTTTATCACGTTTGTACAGTCATAATTAGTTGTTTGAGAAATTGTAACTTCGACATTCTGAAATATAAAGCAACTATCCCCAGTTTCCATATGATCTTTTTCCCAGACAACCTTTCAAAATGTTGAGAGTATGGCTTCCATGCAATTTTTGATAATTACTTGTATTTCTCCATTTGTGACAAATAATGCTGATACGCGTAGTCGATGATCTGTCGCGTCTCGATAGAAAATTTATCGTCGCCGAGAGCGATTCCCTCGATCATAACTTTGTCGATACATAGTAAAGGCACTCGCAGAACCTTAGCGCTCCTACATGCGGTCTCTTGATATTCTAAACGACAGCGCAATTCAGTAAATATATTTTCCTCCCTCCAATGTACTGTCGTCGTAGGTCATATTACCGGTGAACGGCGCGCCGTGGAAAATAATGCAGACTTTCTTGGCCGGCCGCATAGGGTCGGGCTCTGGAATCGATTTCCTCTCGAGACTATCAAATAGTTCCTTTACGGGATCTTTCATTTTCTCACAGAAATTAGATTCCTCACGTAGAGCCTTTATATAGCCTGAATGGAGAGTCATATTTTTGTCAAACGTGATAACGATAACTTTACGAAAATACTGGGGTTATCAGATTTGGAAGTAGAAAAATCTTGACAAACTCCCTCTTTCAAAAAAAAGGAAAAAAGAAAATTTGAAAGAAAAGAAATGTAGCCTGTAAAACTATACTTTTGGACAAATATATCATCAGACTTATAATCAATACGATAATGATAAACAGAAAAATATATTATAACAAGAATACAAAAAAGAAAATATAATTACAAATTTATAATTATAATTATAATAATTATAATAAAAGATAAAGAGAAATATACTGTTGCATTATTACAAGAATACGAGGATCCAATCAGATTTATATATAAAATCATTACGATAACTATGAACAGAAAAGTAGATAACGAAGAAAGATAAAACATTATCAGTTTATACATCTAAACTGGAACAATTAGGAACATAATAACAATTCGACTATGAAAAATCATATTTTGCAAAAATTCATAAAAAAGTAACATAAACATTTTGATTTATTTTCAGAGAGATGATTTGGCTACTTGTAATAATTTTTTCTTATTTTTAATAAAATCAACAAAACATGAAACATCACGATTTCTTTTCTAATTCAGAGTTTACTGTATTCGGTTTTAAACAATATTTTTCGTTTGTCCACAAATTTTTCACTACAGAAAAAATTCATTCTGGAGAAATTTAATTATCTTAACTAAATTAGGAAAGATACCCTTTGAATATACCGATATCTCCTTTAAAAATCTCAATTTAGAAGTTTAAATATTGAATTAAGTAAAACCAATGAAATACATTTAAAAACAAATTAAATATGTATAGTATTAAATAATTTGACATTTAGCTTTTGGCATGTTTAATAATCTGTACACTTTTAATATTAGCTGCATAAAATAACGTTAATTGTAAACTCTGAGCTGTCCAACTGAAATCTGAATGTCTGATAAGCCTAAATAACACTTATCGTCTAAGTAATGACTTACAGGCGAGCATATGTCGAATTTCTTCGGGATTCCTCGTCAGCCACATTGGCGGCTCAGGAGGAAGATCCTTGGAACTTTGTTCTACGATTAAACGACAATTAAACGTCGCTTGAATCGACAAAGAGAGAAAGGAGAAGTCCAGCTTTAACTATTCTCAGTGTACACACACATACACATATATATATATATATATATATATATATATATATGTATGTATGTATGTATATATATACCACTCAGTGCAACGGCACTTCCCTCCTCGATCGCTCTCGCTGACAAAGCGTACGACATCTCGCTCACGAGGCTATTATAGAATTCCATTAAAAACGACGGCATTCTCTCTCCGAGTTTTCGGGGCGGTAATAGGATTTCTTTAACTCCGTAGTAACGAATCAGTGCCTCGGCTGCTCGTTCCTCCTCCGGAAAAAGACTGCGAGTGCGTCGCAATTTATTCAGTATAAAGTACGTTCGGCGAGGCGCGTGCCGTCACGTCATGTCGCCCATCACTCTCTCTTTCGTTTCGTGTTGACCACAAAATGAGAAAACAGCTGTACGCTATTCTTTCTTTCTCTACCTTTTTTTTTCTACAATAGCGACCACCACAGATAAGGAAAAGGCGGACACGATGGAACATACGGATTGAATCAAAGCTTTACTCCTATATAGCTGACAATAGCGTGGACTTCACGTCAAATGATGCTTTGGATAACTGAACTTTAATAACGCCATTCTTGCCGATTTGTAACTTTTCATAAGACAGTCCAAACTAACAGTTATATAATTATTTTTGGAAAAGAAAGTAATTTTAACGTCTTTTTTACGACTTTTCATGTTCCATCTTATCCGGCTTTCCTTTATGTAATGCAAATTTTAATGATTTCCGATGAAATTCATTTTATCACATAACTGCCTTAAAAATATTTGTCTTGCCTGCCCTTTTCCTATACGAGATTCTTGGCGGCTGGCTGTTCTTTCTTTATGAACTTTTTACCTTCGACTCGCACTTTTTAAATTTTTTTACTGTTTCTCGACGTCGGTTACCTGTCGAGATGATGCCAGAAAAATTCCACTGGCTGCTCGTAGACGTTCTCGATCGTAAATATCTTCTCCTGCACCCCAGTGAAGGGTACCGTGGGTGAAAAATCGATATCGAGATCGCTTATCCGCACTTTGCGCTCCGTTCCGTGACCGTGCAGTGTTACCGTTTGCTCCTCCAGTCCCATTTCGACGATGACTTTTAGTTTCGCCGCCGCAGAACACTGCATGAAATCGGCGACGGTCATCTAATCGTGCAAATATGCGGCGCTACGTACGCGGCAAGTACCGTTTTACGTGGCTTGAAGTAAACGTTGATAACAGCCGAACAACCCCGCGAAAGAAGCTCCGAATTGTACTTTAAATGAAACTGACAGTCCTCCTGTCTCTTGCGCGTGTTCGTCACTTTCGCTTGCCAACGACAATCGATGAAGCCTCTGAAAATTCACAGATACGCATCAGTTCCTCCGTGAGAATAGTGAGGGAAATATGTTCCAAAGTGGATACGTCACTCGTTCTTCACCAGTACGCTCATCATCAAGCATTCTCCCACGACGACAGATTGAAAGTTTAACGATTTCGTGTTCACAGTCACGAACGGGTAAGTGATGACGCCTCTTACAGCAATCGGAATGGTAGAACCGCGGGATATCTAGAAATTTGGGATAAGATAACTAGAATATAGGTGTATAAGTGAGTAATCTAACTTTCTTTTAAACAATTGAAAAGTGATTTTAGAATTAACCTTTTCACTTTTTTGCAGTTATGTAATGTTGACATATAGCTGTTCAAAATGACATTTGGTTCGGAAGGAGGTCCAACACATTCTTAAAAAGTATTCAGTTCAATAGCATCAACAATAGCAACAGATAAGGTGCATATCCGACAGTATATTGTTTATCAATTCCAACAAGAAAAAATGCTACAAAAGCGTGCGAGTCGAATTGTTCATTTCTCAGCGAAAATGTTATATTTGTAAGATATGTGCATATTTAACCGATATAAAAGCGGTGATTTCAGTCTGATCGACAAACAACGCCTCAAAGGTCCTCGGAAATGCCACAACGACATTTGGAACAACTGCTTGCTGAGAATTCGGCAGAAACGCAAAAAAAGCTTACAGAGTATTTGAGTGACACAACAAATCATCTTCTACACAAGATGAGAGAGATCCAGAAAAAAATAAAATAGGTTCTACGTAAACTCACTGAAGCCCACAAAAATCAGCGAGTGGCAGCGTGCCTTTCTTTTCTCAAAAAGCAGCGTGGAAAATCGTTATGGACGATGAAAAATAGATACTCTGACACACAAAACACAAAATGGATAAATCCCGGTGAACCATCAACATCGGTCGCAATGCCCAAACGCATTGGAGAAAAGGTTCTACCCTGCATTTAGTGGGATATCAAGGGCGTGATTTATTATGAGCTGTTGGAACCGAGTGAAACAGTTACTGCCAACTGCTGCCAACGCCAATTAATCGCCTTGAGTCAGGAATTGGAACGAAAACGCCCGTATACTGGCAAAGGAGAACGTCTTGTGAAATTGCTACATGACAACACCAGGCCACACATTGCTTCTAAGACAAAAGACACCATAATGAAACTTGGCTGGGACGTCTGGCAACACCCGACGTATTCACCAGCTTCTTCCGATTACTTCCGATATATCTAGCACGCCTTGCTATTTCAGTGATATGTGGAAAATTCAATACCAAATGTATAATATTAATATTAAATTACTGACGTACAAAAAGTGTTACGTCATCGCAATGCAAATGTTGAGCGAAACAAATCGCATCTCAATTAAATAATTATTTTTACTTCTAAGTGGATCAAGTGCTGTTCCTTCGTGCTTCTACCGGTGTATCTGGCCGATGTAGGCCGCCACGTAATGGCCAAGGGTGCAGTTTCCCCGACTTTTAACAACGCCTTTTTCAATTGCACGACGACACAAGAATTCTCAAGTTGCTCCTTATCCAATTTCTTTATCGCGATCTCCGCGTTCCACGATCCGTAATTGATAATCGTCGTCGAGTAGCGCGTCGTAAGATCGATTGCGACGTAACCCATGTCTAAAAATAATCAGCGCGACGTTAATTACAGAAGTCCTGCATTTTTCTCACAATTCCCCAGCAGGTCAAATTGCAGAAAGTTTGAGATCAGCGCAATATCTCGCGAACGTACCTATGATGTATTCGGGAGCGCGGAGATGAGGAATGACGGCCTTTTTATGCGGAATGGAATGTTTCATCAAGACGGGAGCATTCTCCTCGATGAAACGAGTCGCAAGGAGTCTGTCGATCGCCATTTCGATGTCCATCGTCCTGGGAAGCATTTCCTCCACCGTGATTAGATCCCACAGATCGTCTAAAAAAACGGAGAAATCGATCGGAATTCCAGTTTGCTTCGTTAATTTCATCAGTTTTACGCTCGATCGCACACATACATGATTATTATTTCATACGATTATTAATTTTACATATATCAAGATATTCTGATTTAGTTGAAAAACGGGAGGTTTTCATTGGAAAGTTTGAGGAATACTCTCTTCGCGCGCTGCATTGCGGTTGATGTTCAAGAAACTTCACTGTACTGCAGAACGAAAATGGTTCATTGTAACATGACGTGAGCGCGACAATACACGCAGAAGTGCACACGGAAGGACACAGTAAGTGCCCAGTCGGCAAACAGAAAATGAAAGTAAATTAAAGCGTACTATTACTACATTTTGCGCACAAAATATAATTGCAATATAATAAAACTGTCTTTTTGGCAGTTTTTTTCAAAGAAATGAATAAAAAAGATATCGATATGGGGATTGGTCATGTTATTTGTCATCGTTTTAGGTATAAAAAATATTATTTAAAGGAAAAAATTGAAATTCCGTCAAGTTCTGAGCGCGATGTCGCCAGACACCTTTAACTGGAGGACAACATTATACAACTCGTGCAATAATCTAAAATAAACATGAATCTTTTAGAAAATTTCCAAAAATAGTATTTTTCCTAGAATACTAAGGGCAATTCTTGGTACGCTAAGTAACAGTTAATTATATGTATGTCAAAATACTCAATCGCCCATCAACTTTTGTAAAAAGTCTGGAAAATTTTCAAAATAGCACAAATGTGTACTGTGATTTTTATTCTATTACGCTACTATCTTATAGCTGAAACTTCTCTATTTTCATTCATAAAATGATTTAAAATAGAACATATAGGCAGATGAGATTAAGTTGGCCCATAATTAAAAGCCAGCAGGAAGCTTATCTCTCGCGAAAACAACATTAATCAAGATACATATTTTATGTCTTCTTTTTTTATACTCTGCGTTACTGAGCAACTAAACTCGGACAAGATGTCTATGACTCTGGAACAAAATGTGTTTAAAAATAATGGTTTTCGACAAAATTGCGATAGTTCAAAGTTGCCTGGGACTGACGGATTGTCCAGACTATATTTATAAATTGCACTCAATGCAATATCTCCTAAAATATGATTTCACTCGAAAGATTAATTGGATTATACAACTGAATCTCACTTGATAAAATCCTCTCGTCCCATTCGGGTATACGATCCCACGGTCTGTTATCGTCACATCGCCCTGTCACCTGCCATTTCTGTAACGCAAGGTGTTAAAATTACATCGGTTGTTCTCATGCACGAAGCTAGAATTTCACACCGTCGCAAGATAATCCGCAGTTAATAATTGAATCGCCCGATATTCCAATTCGACAGAGTGCTGCTTAAAAAGATCGTCGCGTGGAACGCAGAGGTAAACTTGCGGATAACTTGTGACGCCTTTCACGATAATTATCTCCGGGACTACATGGGCCACCTAAAAAAAATCCATATACGTATTTCTTGACAACAATCATATAATTATTACAATCATGTAATCATAATTCAATAACGCAAATATTGTTTTGAGCATATACAAAAATTAAAATTTTGTAGTAGAAGTTACGATACAATTTTTATAATCTTGAACTATACAGAATTATAACCAAAATTATTTGTTTAAAAATGTTATAAGAATTTAACGCTTCATTGCAAAATTATTGTAATTACTGAACGCTTTTTATATCATACAGCAGATAGATTGTCACAAAGTTACTATTTCTATAGTAGTTTATATCAGTAATTTTAATATAGTCCAGTTTTATAAAAGAACATTATAAAAAGGACTATTAAAAAAGTTAAAATTGGTTCTGATGTATTAAATACAATAAAATAAGGAAAAAGAAAGAGCATTTAAGAGCCAGGCACAGTTGTAAGAGTGCAATCTATATATTACAATAACGGAGATAAAAAAATGTATATTATGTAAACAAATATATATATGTATGTATATATTATATAAACAAATATATATTCTAAATATATTTCCCCTATTTTATTATAAAAAGAAATATTTTATCGTAATTTTTACTACATTTCCTTCGTGTACAGCTGGCTGATTAAAAGTAACAGAATTCTTGCACGTTGAGTTTTACAACGCATTCCCTATTTAATAAAAAAGTATATACCTTCTGAAAATTACTAGGAAACAATTCTTCCTAAATATGCTTGTATATATCTCCTACTAGATGCGTTAAAAAATTCACCGAGGAGAAATGTTGTGACTTTTAATAAGCTGACTCTCTCCTTCTATAATATATTTGTACTATATACGGTATCTCAGACTCTCCTCCGCAATTTTTGTAAGAAAATCAAACAGATTGATGAATCTTCAACGCAATATAGTAGATGAAGTATAGTAGCGACGTGTGCTACTGTGTGCTTGTATATTAGGTCAAATTGAACAAATAAAGCTCCTTATCATTTTGCAAATAACCACATAGATTTTTAATTATTAATAAAAGAAAATGATTGTGTGCGCGATAACGCACAAATTTTCTTTACTTAATATCTAAAAATCTATTGCAAAATAATGAACTTTCTTGTTCAGTAAACTTTATTTGTTCAGTGAACTGTATAAGTGTACAACGATAGATGGCGCAACTATAGCTCATCTACCACATCGCACGTGATCATTCACCAATCTTGTTTAATTAATATCTCGAGATTTATTGCGAATGTCGCAAGACAGTAGACGACTTTTATGTTCACCTCAATTCGCTCTGTTCCCACAAAAATTGCCGAGGAAAGCTTGAGACATCCTATATACGCGCAGAGATTTTCTCGGTTGCGCGAATAATTGGTGCATATTAATAATTTGCATCGTGCGAGATTTAACTTCGGATTAAGCTGTGTATGCGAGTATATCTGAACACACTTGCAGCTCCAATTCGATCTTGAAAGCGCCCAGCAGCGTCGGCTGGAATTCGATCTCAATTTCCATCGACGATAGCGGATCTATGGATCCTTTATTCGACTCGACCGTTAACGCGCTGATTGTGCGGCCGCTTTTTCCCGCGCTGGATATTAAATTCCTCTCGTTTATCTTGTAACTGAGGGATATCGCGCTACGATTTACCAAAGCGAAGCTCGACCGGCACGTTTCGCCGTACAGCTACGGTAGGGATCGATACGGAGTGTAAAGTTAAACCAGCTTTAACGTGTTAAGCTTCAATGCGTTACTGCGTTAAGGGTGTTAAGCGCGTTTAATTAGAATCGTAAGCATTGCCGTTTAGCACGTTCCGTGCTGAACCACTTTTATGCGAGTTTTATCGTACACGCCGCGTCGTGGGTCGTCGGTGAGCCAGATTGTCGTATCATGAACCACATTTTGCAAGTAAAACTTTTCATAACGGTTATACAAGTATTTCGTGTTTCATTTTAAAGTTAAACTGTTTCAAACGAACGAACGGAAAATTTACTGGTGACTCACGAGTCACGGAATGTGTATCAATCCTTTGAATTCTAATTCTTCATACAATAACATTTTTTTTAGAAAGAGAAAGTTTCTTTTTTTAGAAAGAGAAAAGTTTCTTTAGACTTAGTCGTCCTGTTTGTTTAACTTCAATTTGTCTGATAAAACCAAGGAATTTTTTCATTAAATTAAACTACGTTATTTGATAAAAAAAAAGCTATCATCCAGAGAAAATTTTCAACAAAGTAATGTATAATTTTATTATATTTCATATTTTGTTTCGTTAATTTAAATTATATTATTTGATTGAAAAAGACTATTGCTGCTAAGTATTTTGTTTTGCAACCTAATCTATTGTTTATACTAACCAATATAATATTTGGTTAAAAATCCAAGAGCAATTATGTCGTCACTGTTTTGCTTTTGTATATTTTGTCAATATCTATTACATATAGACTGTTGTTGCATTGCTTTCAATAATTATCAGTATATATAGCATGAAAGAAGCAGCTTTGAACATTATCAGGATGCATTATAAAAAAAAGCATAATATTGTAAATATATCGTCAGAATGTTAGTAGGAATCAATAATTCTTGTTCGATCATTGAAGTCGAGCAACCTAGACCGTGGTCAAGAAGAACAATGGATGAGCTCATCGTGGGATGATTGATATGAGAATTTGGATGAAAAATCACGGAGGGAAAAGGATATACTCGATGAAGTAATAAAAAGAGATAGTCAGTAATGCGTAAAAGCTATTCTGAAGTTTCTTAAGATTATTTAGGATCATTGAATTCTTTTTAGTAAAATGAGAGAATTAAATGGAACCTTAAGTTTGGCTTAAGAAAGTGGTCTTCCTTAAGCCAAATAACAAATTATAACAAATTATTTGGAGAAAACAGTAAAATATTTTGAAAATAAAACAAACAATCGCACTTATTGATTAAAACGTTAATTTTCTTGGATTATTCGAGTAATCAAATTTGTTTGGATACTGTAAAATTTATGAAATCTAAAGAAATCTCTTTCTCTGTATAGACATATAATTGCATATGATTACATAAAATATCTGACATAAGGCATGACAATCTCAAGCAGAACAGAAAATCATCATGACATTAAAATGACGAGAAAATAATCTAATAGTAACTAAAAAATAAGTTTTCTCTTAATTCATTTTCTCATCATTTTGGCATCATTGTGATTTTTTATTCGCGCGTGTGCAAGTAGATTAGGTCAAATTAAACAAAAAACACTTCTACTTTGGAAATAGCTACGTAGATTTTTAAGTTAATTAAAGAAGAAACTAATTAAAGAAGATTACACAAATGATTGTACGAGATCATTCTCCAAACATTTTTAATAAACTATATATAGCATCTCTTTAATTAAAGTAAATCGTAAAATTAAAGCCAGATATTCTGTATATGTAACCTTATAAAGACAAAATTCATATATAGAAGAATTATATAAATATAAATATATATACATATTTTTTTTTTACAAATTTACACAGTTTTACATATTTCTTTTTGTTTGAAAAAGATTAAAGATTGTCAGATCACTCACCCGTTCGCCGAAATCGATGACTCGTTTGTCAACAAAGAAGAGGACGGTATCCGCGTTGGCGGTGACGTTAATCAATTCAGTGGGACCTTGAAGAACTTCGCAGAGCGCTACGACTTTGATCTGCACTGGCTCGATGCCGTAGAAGATGAAGCGCACGTATTGCGAGGAATACGGAACGATAGTGCCTTCGTGAGGGATGATATCGAGTATCTGAGTAACGTATACCAATTTCGTGAAACCAGCCATTGTCGTGAACGGTAATCGCCGAGTAAAATCCGCAGAGACGCGCGCGCGCTCGCGACAGACGTTAATTTTGCTAGATTGAACTTTATCGAGAAGAGAGGCACGAACACCGTCGAGTGACTCCCTCGTGGCAGGTTCGAGAGCGGAATCCATCAAAGCGAGAATCTCCGGGTCTTCCAAGCATGATAAATAGGACGTTTCTATCGGCCTTGCCGTCGGCGGAAGGAGGCTCCTCAATTTATCGCGCGTTTCGTTCGGCACTCGCGAATAGAGCACTTTTGCCAGCGAACTCTCCGTCACCGTTTTCCGCAACTCTGATTATGAAAAGCGGTATGTTATCTTCTGACCACGTGAAAACGAAAACTCGAAAATGACAGCATTTAACTGAATCACACGATTAAAAGGCCAGACCAATGTAACGCTCCAAAAAAGGTATATTTTTAGAAATTAGTTTTGAATTAATTTTGAAAATGGATAATATACTATAAATATATATCAATAATTATCTCAAGCACAAATTATTATCGATACTGAAATGCCATTTCTTCCAAAGAGAATATATGAATAATTCACACCATGATATGATGAAGTCGACGTTGCAAGCGTCCCTGAAGATCCGCCCTCGTTCTCGCGATCCGCCAAATTTTTCTTGCGATCGCACAAACGCGCCACGAACTCGTAACCTTCCACGTTGATTCGAGGCTCAGAATTGTCTGCGAAGTCCTGTTAACAAAAATAGTGCTGTGTTTAAAAGATTCGAAGTGCTTTTGATATAACTTAAATAAAGCAAATCAACATCAAATTCATTTGATCAAAATATACCTAATGTTCATGCAACTTTGTAAAAATCTTATATTTTATTTAGATTTTCGAGTGTTTTAGTCAAAATGGAACACTATATATAACCATCATCCAATTCTTTTTTACATGACGTAATTATCACGAGTAAAAAAGTAATAGCACATAGAGAGCATGGATGTGTAAAAACAAAGATTTATTAAAAGCTGCGTACAAAATGCAGTAGGAAGTCCGTAGAAAGATATTTAACACTCCGAAAACACGACATAAAAAGTACTGCGGATATGTTTCCAAAAAGAGTTTTATGTTAAAAAATATATTATCTAGTAAATACCAAATAACAATAACGTTATATCAATGTCATAATTTTCCACTCAACAGTGTAAGTGCAATATAACATATGTTGTAAATAATAGTTATGCTATTAAAAGGTAAATATACACACTGATATAATGTTATTATTATACGATGTTGCTAGATATATAACGAATGCAATTTTATAAAATGACATATAATTCAAATGTAACATATAAATATGTATTGTATAGCACACATATTAATATATGTATATATTTATATGAATATGTATATGTATATATATATTTTTTTTTATTTTTTATATACATACATATTCATATACATATATGCATATATATGTTAATATTTTATATTACATTTGATATACATTATAAATATAATATCATTATATTATTGACATTATTATATTATAAAAAATATAATATTGATTATATGTTTATCTCAGGAATAAGTATGAAATAACGTGTATGTAATCCATCACAGAATTGTTCTTCAAATGCTTTTATTGCTGTCCTTAACACAAAAATATGTACGTTGAAAATGTATGAAAACCGCAGATTTATTATAATTTATTTAGAAAAAATACAATGAAAAGACTTGTATGAAAACATTCGGTTTCAAAAATACAATATAAAAACGCCTGTATTTCCAATAAAATTTTTTCATTAAAATGTATAATAAAATACGAATACTCTCAAACAAAACAGATTACTACAGATTATTCAAAATGATAACGTCAAAATGATGAGAAAATCATCGTAAGAATGTACTCTTTTCGATGATTTAATAAATTTTAAATTTTTCAATCAATTCGACGGCATCATGCTATTCTGTTTTGCTTAGACTGTTCTTTCTTTCCCTAGCGTTTTCGTTTCTCGCGTTCTCAATTTTTCTTCATTTCCCTGACCACATTCACGTTCAGTGTTCCTTCAAAAAGTTTTCAATGGTGTTGTCTATTGGAATTACCGGCAGCGGGAGAAAGGGGCTCGTGTATATATCCTTCACGTGCAGCAGATAGGATTCCATACAGTTGCTGAAGCAACCACATATCTCGCACTTGATCGCCGAGTAATCGTGACTACGCTTTATATGGAGATTCAGCTCTATCGTGAATTTGTACTTCTTACCGCAGATGTCACACAAGTAGTCGCGGCTATCAACGTGCTTTCATGTAACGTACATTCTCAAGGATAACTTTTAACTGAAACATTCGCCGCATTTGTCGCACTCCAAGAAGGGCTTCTTCGTATCTATCCTGGTCCAAATTCGCTTCTCTTGGCGACTATATTGGCGCATTGATTCTCTTGCTCCGCCGTCGGTCGTCTTTCTTTTTTCCCTGATTGAATGTACACTTCTATCTTGCGAAGAGGCGCTTTTCGATGTACTTCTGAGCGAATGTCCGGACTCATTTGAATCCATGACTTATTTGAATCCAATTTTAATAAATTCCCACGAACCTCATTTCAACTACCTCGAAAATATTCTTATGTACACGCTTACCTTGAAGTAACTCACCCTAATGTCACGTGCGATATGATGAATCTCAATACTCTCTCCCGCCCACAGAAACTTGTATATCACGGGGATTGATCCATTGTTGGTCAACTGGAATTTCTTCACAGCTGTCGAGCCCAAAATGCAGTTGATGAGTACGTCATTGCACGGTAATGTGACAGTCGGGAAGTTCACGGTGCCTTTACATAGAATTTTATCCTGAAAATGAACGAACGAATTATTCGCACCGTGCAGGTCGACTCGCGATCTTTGCAATGCAAATCTCACGGCTCGCACCTTATTAGGATGCTCGTTATACTCGAAGCAGAGCGCGGCGTTATAATTTCTCGAGCAGGGATTGTCGAGATTTACATGGGGCGAGAAATTCATCGGGATCGTCAGGGTGGTCCCGCTTATCAGGACGATTTTCCTCTTACTCACGGCCTTCTTTTTGTCGACCATCAGATAAAAGGGAGGGTCGACGTATAATTGAACGTTTAAATCTAATCGCGACTGATTCGTCACGACCAGCTCGTCTGAAAGTTAACGAATTCGAGAGATTATTGTTATCTCATTAAATACGATATCATTGTATATACGTAACATTGCATTACGTAACATACGTAAATTGCATAACTGCGTAAATTATCCTATGGATTCAGAATGTTGACCGTATTAGATGTACGAATTAATTCGGTGCCTCTTCTTACAAAGAAAGGTATCTTTCAACACACACACACACACACACACACACACACACACACACACACACACACACACACACACACACACACACACACACACACACACACACACACACACACACACACACACACACACACACACACACACAGAGACACACATATTCAGTTAAGATGAGACTACATTTGCCAAATTTTATAAGTCAGAACAGCGTATCGCTGTACCAACTTCCAAAAATTCTGTAATATTCTGGTAATAATAATATAATAAATAATATAATAAATCTGGATGTAATGTATATATCTACATTTATCCTCTTTATTATAATAGTAACGAACAAATTTGAATTATGAGGGAAAGGAAAAAATCATGCGCAATGGTGAATACATCAACCAGTTTGTTTATTTACCGTTTTGAGGAGAATCTATTGGATAACTAAGAGCAAAACGTGAAGTTTATCTAATAGCATATTAAGTGTTAATCGAGCAGATAGTTGAAATCGGGATGGATAATGAAAAAACGACAATTGATTGTAACAAAAATATTTTATATATACATATAAATATTATATGTGATATATATTTCTTTTACTTATATTTTTTATTATAGTTTTTTTTATTTATCCTGGATTCAACCATCTGCTCGATTGACACTTAAAATGCTATTAGATATCTTACGTTTTACTCTTAGTTGTCCAACAGATTCTCCTCAAAATGTCAAATAAACAGGCTGGTCGAGCTGTTCACCACTAGGTTGCGCACGTTTATTTCCTTTCTCTCACAGTCCAAATTTATTTGTTACTATTATAATAAAGATGCAGTAAGTGTAGAAATAATATATTCACTACGTAAAAATTTTTGGAAGTTGGAACAGCAATACGCTGTTCTGACTCATACAAATTGCCAAAAATAAAATCTCATCTTAATTTAATACTTTGTATGTTTTATGATGACAGAATAATAATATATTACATTATTTAAACAAATATGTACATATGTATGTATGTATTAAATAATAATACAATAACTAAATAGGATAAATAATATAATATAATAAATTACTAAATAATATCTTTATATGTAAAAATCCTAAACATTTATGTCATGTGTTTATTTAGCGTTTTAAACGCTAATAGCAATTACCCAATGACTTGTTTAAATAATATAATGCATTATTATCCTTTCGTCAAAAAATATACAAAGTATTCAGTTAAGATAAGACTTTATTTTTGCTGAGTTTTATGAGTCAGCACAGAGCTGTTTCAACTTCCAAAAATTTCTGTGGTGAAATGTGTATTTCTACATTTATTTACTCTTGATTATAATAGTAACGAACAAATTTGAACTGTAAGAGAGGAAACAATCATGCGCAATGGTGAATAAATCAACCAGTCTGTTCATTTAACGTTTTAGGGAAAATCTATTGGACAACTAAGAGCAAAACGTAAGATATCTAATAGCATTTCAAGTGTTAAAC